GGGCAAATGGCTGGATGAAACTTCACACACTCCCCAAGACAAAGAGCTTTCTGTGCAGCTTCCTTTGGGGTCCTTCGCCCAGCCATCCTGAGGCTTTGGGGCTGCTCAGGAAATAGAGCTACCCGGCTTTGGTCAGACAGGGCTGCTTGGTCACGCCACGATTTAGAGCCATGAAGGGGATCCAACCCTGGCTTGCTGTCCCCTCGAGCGGAGAGACGAGTGACAGATGGTGAGCTCGTGTCCTGAAAGCCCGGGGAAGGTCAGAGAGTGAGGAGTCAGTAGGAGCATTCTCGGAGCTTGGGAACTGTTTTCCAGCCTCTGTACCTGGGAGTGCTAAGCTGGGTCGATTCCTGTTCTCTCTCTCTCTCTCTCTCTCTCTCTCTCTCTCTCTCGATAAGCTCTTTATTTACGTCCTTTATAGAGGTTTAGCATGTTAGGACCAGAAAAGGGGAGCCACCCAAAGCCCTCTCCTACTGGAGTGGGACGAACTGGAGAGTGATGCACTTAGTCGCATAGACTGCAGCCCTGGTAGAGCTGGACCCCATGTCCCTGCTCCTAGGACTCTTTTCTGGGGGTCCGCAGCCTCCTCTGCACCTGACCCTCGTGTGTCAGCCCCCGTTGGCCTCTGGCTCTCTCCCTGGTGTCTGATCCAGTATAGAAGTGTCTGCATGGCACCACAGCTGTGGGTGCCCAGGGGCCTGCAGGGACTAGCCTAGAGCACCGGGAGGAGACCTTCGCGAACAAGTGATGCATCTCTGAATGCCTTTTTGTTTTGGTGCTAGTCCCTAGTAGGCACTCCCAACGGGAGTGCTGCCCCCACTCACATCTCTTTGTTCACCCAGCACTTTTGGCTGTCCCCTCCTCGGGGGAGAGTGGTGGCACCGGGGCCTTCTGGGGCTCAGGGCTCACCTACCAAGTAGGCAGAGAGCTGGGCGCTCAGTTGCTCTGCTCCTTTTGGGCGGGGTCCGAAAACCTGCTCAGCGGCCAGTGGGATGGAGCGCGGTGGGGAGAGGGGTCGAATACGTGTAGATACTTATAGATGAATCCTGGTGCAGATCAGGTTTTGTTTTTTAAACAGTTTATTTTAGAGAGAACTACTAGGGGTGTGGGGTGGGGGTGGCAGAGGGAGAGGGAATCCCAAGCAGGCTCCATACCCATCGCGATGCTCAATGTGGGCCTTGATCCCAGGACCCTGGGATCATGACCTGAGCCAGAGGCAGACGCTTCACCCACTGAGCCACCCAGGCGCCCTGGGGCTTTTGCTTTATTTATTTAAGATCTTGATGAAACGCCTCCTCCTATAGCTGTGTGCCTGGTTCTAGTGCACTCCTGCAGGGGGTTTGCCGCAAATTTCAGGGTAGCTGAATTCTGAGTTCCGTTGGGATTCTGGTGCCTCAGATCCGTGAGACCCACTTTTTGAAAACCAAAGGGGAGAAAAGTTTTGGAAAGGTAGTGCCTTCTGTCTGTCCTTCCTCTTCCTGATGCCCCTTGAGGGTAGACACACCTTTGCAAAAAAAAAAAAAAAAAAGTACCTGGTGTTGATTAGGTGTGAACGGCTGACTTTGCACTGAGTGGAGCAGCGTCAAAGTGGGGCAGGCCTGGGTATCCACGTGTGAATCTGCTCACAAATGACTGAGTGTTGATTTGTAGCATCTGTTGATTTGAGGAAAGCAGGTTTTGCCTCACAGCGAGCAGGAAGGTGGGATCTCTGTGATGTTATTTCCACCTGGATGGGGCCTGCCTGGCAGAGTAGCTGGCTGGAGTCCCCCTCTTCCCCTCCCGAGTGCCCGCTGGCTGGGGTCAGACTCGTGCCCATCGTGACTTTGCTGGGGACGAGGACGCAGCTGGTCGCATGAAAGGCATAACTAGTTAGTTTTTATAAAGATTTAGTTATTTATTTGGGGGGGGCGAGGGTCGGGGGCAGAGAGAGAATCCCAAGCAGACTCCCTGCTGAGTGTGGATCCCGACATGGGGCTCACTCAATCCCAGGACCCTGAGATCATGACCTGAGCTGAAACCAAGAGTTGCACGCTTAACTGAGCCACCCAGATGCCCCATAGCTAGTTTTCAGTGTGTACTGGTTTTAGATGACTTACCCAGTTGCCACTTTGAAAGTAGTATACATCAACTAAATGAATCAGGAATATACTGGAAGAGACCATAGTTACTCGTATCTCCCACATGCAGGAATTAAAAAAAACTTTGGCCAATTTAGCATTTTTTTTCTCAGGAAATTTTTTTTTTAAGATTTTATTTATTTATTTTGACAGAGACAGCAAGAGCGGGAGCACAAGCAGGGGGAGTGTGAGAGGGAGAAGCAGGCTTCCCGCCGAGCAGGGAGCCTGATGCGGGGCTCGATCCCGGGACCCTGGAATCACGACCTGAGCCGAAGGCAGACAGTTAATGACTGAGCCAGGCGCCCCTCTCAGGAATTTTTTCTAAAGTGTCCTTGTGAAGTGAGTGTAATCCGTCCCGTCTGGGGGCGGTGATCAATGCTGCCACGCTCAGGAGCTGGGGAGTGAGGACTGGACTCCAGTGGGTCCCAGGACTGTGTCTGCAGCGCGCAAGACTGGAAGTTGGCTTTCCAGTTTGAGCGTCCATGGATCGGTGTGGTGGGCCAGCGCCGGCAGGGCAGACCGACTGGCCCCACATCACTTCTCAGCTCTGCTCTAGTGACGCTTTCGTTCATGCTTATAACTTGGGTGAGAAATCCAGGGAGAATTAATTTTCAGCCTGGAAACAAAGTCTGAATTAAATAGGTCTCAGGAGGGTCTCAGGAGGGTATCCGTTAGCAGACAAGCTGAGGCTTGGGAATTATCAGAGCCTGCGGCCTGTGGGAGGCTCCTGCCTTGGTTAGCTGGATTGGACTGAGAGGTGAGTAAGGGGAAGGCCTAATTTGGGGGACCTGGGGACAGTGGGATATGGGGGATACCCTGGGGCCACCAGCAAGGGTCCTTTTGAACAGGTGTGGCTGGGGCCTGGTCTCCATCCACCCTTGTATGTCCCTAACATGTCCTTCAGAAACCTCTCTCCCTGGTGTCTGTGGGCTGACCAGCAGGGGTGCTGTGTCCAGCATGTCTACGTGTTGGGGGTGGGGCCAGGGGGCTGGGCAGTTTGAGCGCCGGCAGCAGCCCTGTGTGAGCTCTGGTTATGGGCTGTCTCCCGAGTCCTAGCCATTGGGTCTGTGGGGCTCACCCTTGTTTATTGCCATAAAGTCCAGGATCCCAGGTCAGAGCCCATGGTGTGAAATGGCAGCAGGTGATGGGCCCGGCTAGCCCCTCCCCTTCTTCTCTTTCAAGGGTATGGTCACCTTTCAGAAACCTTGGCTTTGATGAGGGTGTAGGCAGCCCATTTGTGCCTGAGCGGGGCCCCGTCCCTGTGGGCGTGCCTTGAAGCCAGTGGGCCAAGTGTTCGGGGAGGCAGTGTGGTGTGGTGGGCACAGAGCAGGGGAGGGCCGGGATCGCACCCCAGGGCCACCATTCAGTACACCATTCAGGATCGTTAACCGCTGTGGCTTTGGTTTTCTCCTTTGTGAAGTAGGAGCAATGAGACCCGTGTCATCAAGTTGGAGAGTGGAGAGTGCCTGGGGTCTGGTGGCACCTGTGACCGTGACGGTGAGGGCCTGTGACCACGGGTCCTCTCTGCTCTCCAGGCTCCTGTGCCTTCGTTCTCCTTGTAAATATGAGTAGCTGCACTGTTCCCTAGCTCAGGGTCCCTGCAGGACTCCTGGGCCGACCCGGGCTGCTCCCCTGTGACGGGTAGGTGGGAGGGAGCCAGCCATCTTCAGAAGCCCCTGGAGCTGTGGTTGAGGTCTTCAGAGTCGGCGCCTCCCTTCCCTCGTGTGAGGAGAATTCGGAGTCCGCAGGCATCTGTGTGCCCGCAGCCTCCCTGCTGCTGGCCCAGGCCCTGCATCCAGGGTGTACCTGGCCTTCCCGGGCTTCCCCCCACAGCCTCGCCCCTCCTCATAGTGGGTCCCAGTTCCTCCCTGCCTTGGCCAGAGTGCTCCCCGGCTGCTTCTCTGGGGCCCCCTGCTGCTCCCTTTCTTTCTGTGGGTTTTCTTCAGCCCCAGCATGTCCCTGGGACCCTATCCTGCCCCTCCCAGCACGCAGTCCCATGTAGGCTGTAGGAGATACTTGGGGGACCGGCCGCACATGCTCCCCTGGGAGGCAGTGCTGGGTACAGTGCTTTCTGCCTCTATGGCCCTGACCGACATGAAGAAACACATTTTACACTGTGACCGAGTGGAGGGAAAAGTACAGGTGCACACAGGGAAAACAAGTATCAGGAGAGAGTCCCACCCACAGTGTGCTCTGATGCCTCCCTGGCTGTCCCGCATCCTGCTCCTCTTGGTTTTCGTGCCTGTTGGGACTTCCCAGATGGATGGCACTGGACTGCGGTTTGCAAACCACACGGCTTGGGAACTCGTGGAGCCTGAGGGTGGGGAGGGGCCTCTGCACGTCCCTGGGCCTGTGGGTGTCTGTCAGAGGCCCGCCCAGGCAGAGCAGGGGCAGCTGGGTGGGGACAGGCAGCTGGGTGGCGACGGGCAGCCTCTAAGGGGCTGGGGTCGTTGGGGTTGGGGCGCCCTGGGCCCTAGAGGGAGGCGCTTCTGGAGCGGACGCTCCCTCCCCAACCAAGTTTGGGTCCAGGGAAAAGAGCACTGGACTAAAATCAGGGCATCTGGCTTCACGTCCCCCTTCTGCCACTTGGGCTACTCACTTCACCCCTCCACACCTCGGTGTCTCACGAGGTGGCTGTGGGGCCCCCAGCCCTGGCTCCACGGAGCCTTTGGTTCTGCTCCATACCTGGGCAGGACAGGGTGGGGGGCCACCCAGGGCTGACCTTGAGCCCTGGCCCTCCCTCGCTGTCCTGTCTCTCAGTCAGCCTGTATCAGAGGGGGTCTGGTGGAAGAACCAGACCTCCCGATGCCTCTACCCAGACCTCGGGGTGGAGCTGCTCTGTGTGAGTGTGGAGCACCCCCCGACTGGCCCGTTCTCTTGCAGCCCTCCAGGATGGCTGCCATGCTGGGGGACGCCATCATGCTGGTCAAAGGCCTTGCCAAGCTGACCCAGGTGGCCGTGGAGACCCACCTGCAACGCCTGGGCCTCGGTGGGGAGCTCCTCGTGGTGGCCAGGGCCCTGCAGTCCACAGCTGCAGAGCAGATGGGCTTGGTCTTGGGGAAGGTGCAGGTAAGGAGGCCGTCGGGAGGGGGCGTCAGGAGGGGCTGGCCTGGAGCTGTCGTCGAGGCCGGGGGGTCGGGGGGCAAATCAGGACGCAGCTGGGGGGCTGGCTCAGGGGACCTGCTGTCCTTCTGGGTGTGGTGGGGTCCCGGCGTGGGGCTGTAGCCCTCTGACTCGAGTTGTCGCTCAGGAAGCCTCACGAAGCTGGGACAGCCCCCGGGAACCAGTGGCCCAGGCCCCAGTTCACTGGCCCTGGGGCACAGGCCACACTCTGCTGGCCCAGGCCTCAGTTCACTGGCCCTGGGGCACAGGCCACACTCTGCTGGCCCAGTCCCATCCTGCTCCCCACCCCCCACCTGGCCCTCTGTTCCTGGGCCTCTACTGAACGTGCTCAACAGAGGCCTTTTTTTTTTATTGTTATGTTAATCCCCATATATTACATCTTTAGTTTTTGATGTAGTGTTCCATGATTCATTGTTTGTGCATAACACCCAGTGCTCCATGCAGAACATGCCCTCCTCAATACCCACCACCAGGCTAACCCATCCCCCCACCCCCCTCCCCTCTAGAACCCTCAGTTTGTTTTTCAGAGTCCATCGTCAACAGAGGCCTTTTTAATTTCAGAAATTAAAAAACAAACAAAGCAGCATCCACCTTTGTTCTTAGGGAGGCAGCTGCCGGGAGCCTGTGTTTCCTTCCCTGAAACAGTTTCTTTCAGAGCCTGAGCACCTTCTCCACTGTTTATCTGATTTCTCTTTCTTGTCGGGTCGGTTTTGGTACAAACGTGGCAGAAGGTACCCTATGTGTAGGCTGAGCGTGCGTGTGTCCCTGGGCGTTACGCCGCAGTGTCAAGCTGTCCCGGGGCCTGTGTGCCCAGGGTCCTTACTGACGTGCCAGCTGAGCCAGGGTCGCACTCCCAGCTTCATTTCCGCGGGGCTCCGGGCGTGGACTCGGGGGCTTGGCTCCTTTCCGGGGAGCGCTGGCGCAGCTTCACCGCCTGCCTCCCTCGCCCTCCTGCCCTGTTCCAAGCCCCCGGCCCAGTGGGAGGGTCCAAAGCACGCGTGCATGCGGAGAGGCAGCTGTCAACAGGGTTTGCTACAGCGGAGGGCAGAGCACCGTCCCACCTGGGTGTCACCGTGCGAGCCGCCTGCCCCGTTCCTGGGAGCCCGAGAGGGTGGGAAGGGGGCACGGGCACAAGATGCAGATGGTGCCCTGCTAGGAGGCTGTCACCGCCTCCAGGCCTCTGGTCAGGTTTTAGGATTCCCAACCCCTCCCCTTCTGTTCCCTAAGTGTCTGGTGGTGACACCACCTCTCTGTCACTCTATGGAAATGCCTTTAACTTGTAGAAGTCTCAACCCCATGATGCCGCCCCCAGCCTGGCTGCTGTCCTGGGCATCACCCCTTCTCAGATGGGGAGACTGGTCCTTGACTTCTGAGTGACTCCCAGGTGCCTTCCTGGTGCGGAGCCATCCCCTTCCTGGTGGGTGTCTTGTCTGTGAAACACCGGCGAGTGAGAGTGTGCCAGGCCTGGGGGACCTTCTGAGAGGCGAGTGGGGGGACAGGCCAGGGCATCTCCAGCAGGGTCCTCGGAGGGAAGAGGGAGTGTGGGTCCCACCACGAAGGACGCACTGAGCAGGGTGAGGGGACTTCATGTGCTCCTGTTCTTTCCCTAAAACTTAGATTGTTGGGGCCTCCTCCTCTCTGAGGGGACGGAGGCCACATAATCCAAAAATGTCTCTCCCTCCACACCTTTAAGGGCTTCGTTCACTTGCTCACTGAGCTTGGGGTCCCTCAGGTCACGCTGGGCCAGGGGGCCGTGGCTGGAGTTCTGGGGCAGCAGGAGGCCCCACGGGGCTCCCATGGGCCCTCCCATGAGCCCTCCCGGCTTCCCTGGTTCTGGCACGTCCCCGGCACCCAACACGTCCCCGGCACCTGACATGTGCTTGCCAAATTCAAGTGCGGGTCGCTTGTGCATGGAGCCGAGGTTCAACAGGGCCAGCGGTCCAGGCTCTGCCAGGCTTTTACCAGTTCTCCCAGCCTCAGTGTCCCCTTGATGAAATGACAGTGACGGCCAGTCTCTTTTTTCCCCTGGAGGGCAAGTCCCTCCTTGGACCCCAAGCCGCGGTGAGGAGGCTGTGGGGCTGCCGCTGGTTTGCAGCGCCCGCAGGCGCCCCGTGTGTGCCCCGAGCCCACCCCTGCGGCCTCAGGAGCAGCGCCATTCCCCCGGCCTGTCTGCGGCCCACACAGCTCTATTTCCAGATGAGGTGGCAGAGAGGGGGCAGGAACTGGCTCAAGGTCACTCAGGGTTTGAATGTAGCAGGAACCTGGGCCTGCAGTTGGAGTCTGTGTGACCATTACAGAGAAAGCGTGGCACTTCCCTCCTGGCCTGTCCCCATACCCCCAGCTCCCAGGGACGGCAGGCCAGCCCTCATGAGAGCCTCTTAGAGGAAGGGCCAGGGGTGAGGTGCTGGCCTGGTGTGGCGGGTCAGTCCTGTCGGCAAGTGGCCCTCGCTGGTCTGGTTGGCCTTTTACTTCTCCGAGCTGTCTGCTGGCCTGGCTCACTCCCCAAAGCCCTGATTTACAGATGAGGAACTTGCTGCCTGTAGTGTGGCGGTCACTCCCCTGGGCCTGGCGAGGCTCCCAGCAGGTGCTCTGTGATTGTCCGGCTTCCCTGGAACCACGGAGTGGGGCCTCTCAGGAGCAGGGCCGAACCTGGGTCTCCTGGCTTCGGGCTGGGAAGGTGCTCCCCTGCAGATCTGGCTGAGGGCCACCTTCCTGGTGGAATGTGTGGCTCCCTGTGCAGGGGGTGGGGGTGGACACAGGGAGGAGGCCCAGGCGGGCCTTTTGCTCTGCTCATGCTGGCTTTTGCTCCCCACAGGGTCAGGATAAGCGCGAGGAGCCTTATGCCGAGAACTTCGAAGACCCGGAAGCAGAGTTCTCTGGGCCTCAGACTGTGGGGGCTCGCACAGATTTCTCTGCAGCCTCCTTCCCTGACTGGTCACCCCCTCCATCCTGGGATCACACTGGCAATGAGGGCCCGGCTCCTGCCTATGTGACCAGTGGACCCTTTAGGGAAGCTGGGCTCTCAGGCCAGGCCACCTCCCCTCTGGGCACCGTCACCGGGAGGCTCTTTGGAGACCCCAGACACCCACTTTCTACCATGGGCCTTCCACGAAGGTTCTTCCACCAGGACCAGCCCCCCGTGGGGGGCCTCACCACGGAGGACATTGAGAAGGCCCGGCAGGCCAAGGCTCGCCCCGAGAGCAAGCCCCACAAGCAGATGGTGCGTCCTGGAGGGCCTGGTGGAGTGGGGCTGGGTTGGCTGCCGCTCCTGGTGGTGCTGGTGTCAGGCCCTCCTCTGGGGACATTCTCCGGATGCTGTGGTCTGGCGTTTTCAGGGACACAGGCCCCCTTTTGGTGGACTAAGCTGCCAGGTGGAGCAGCCACTTTTGGGGGTGGAGCGGGGCTGTGGGGGGCCGCGTGAACCCCTACAGGCTGGTCCTGTCCCCATTTGCTGATTCCGTGAGGTCTCTTTCCTTGCTCCCTCTAGCTCAGCGAGCATGCTCGGGAGCGGAAGGTGCCAGTTACACGGATTGGGCGGCTGGCCAACTTCGGAGGTAAGGTGGCTGTGTGTGCCCGTGCTGCCTCACCTGTCCTGGCCCGCCAGCCCTGGCCAAGTGGAGCTGGGACCACCGTGGGGCCCGCATGGAGGTGGGAGAGGGTGGGGACCTGAGGTGTCCCGTGGAGGCCATCAGCGCCTGCCTGAGCTGCTCCTGACCTTTCTCCCTGAGGGATGATCCAGTGACGGGATTCTGCTCTGCCTCTGCTCACCCCTGGGGGTGAGCGTGGCCACACTCGGGGGATCGTGTCTGTGGCACCAGCCTTTTCCTCCTGCCGCTGAGCCCTGCTGCCGGGAGGGGCCGGGCAGTGAGCCGACATTCCTCACAGGGCTGGTGAGCTCCCGGAGTGGTTTTTGCCCCTGACCGGGTTCTCAGGGACTCGTGGGCTGGACCCCCACGGGCTGGCAGGGTGTCAGTGGAGGGCTCACGAGGTGCTGGGGCCTTGAGTTGCTGTCAGAAAGTCTGTGTGGTTGGGAGCTCTGTCCTTTTCATTGGAGCTTTGAGTAATTCTGTGTCCAGTACACCTGTGCTGAGTCGAAAGGTAATTTTGGAGTGAAGCACTTGTACCTGCTTTTATGACCTCACGTTGTCCTTTCCATTCCCGAGGAAGTTGCAGGTCACTGTGTGTGTCTGAGCCGTGACCTGCTTGCCTCGCGTTTGGCTCGTGTGGGCTTCTAAGTGTCCCTCCAGTGTACCGGCCGTCACGCACGCTGTGCTCTGCAGCCTCTTCTCCCAGAGATGACATCCTGCTCCTCGTTTGGGGTTGGCTCTGTGCCCTACCCACCCCCCCGCCCCCGCCCCCGGTAGCCTGGCCCTTGGAGCTGGACCCATGTGTGGGCTCTGACACCGAGTGACACCGAGTGAAGCTGGGCTTCCCCATGTGCAGAGCCCACTACGTTCATTGGATGGAACTTTCTCGAAGCTTTTGTTCCATCATTGCTATCTTCAGATTTGGCATCTGCTGCTACTTAGCTGTTCCAGAGTCCAGCCTAAAGTACCCCCCGCTGCGTTTTAGGACACAGTTATGGCTTTATTTCCTCTTGTGGGCTTGCATTCAACCAGTGCCTCACAGAACATTGTAACTGCCTGGGACGCCACTCCCGGGATGAGTTTGAGAATCCGAGCTCTGGCGGCCTCCGTGGGTCCTTACTCGGCAGAGAGGCTGCTGGGTGGGTGCGTTGATTACTGAAGTGTTGCGCGGAGGCCCGCTCCTCTCCCCGATGAGTTTGAGGCTGGAGCCGTCCCCTCTCACTCTGTGGTCTCTCTCTCTGCAGCCTGCTTCCCTCTGCTCCAGAGGGGGCTCAGCACAGAGGTTTCGCTTGACCCATGGGTTTGGAGTGGAGTAATCCTCTTGGGGTAGGGATGAGGCTAGTAGAGGGTCTGTTTGGGAAGAGTGGTCAGAAAGAAGGTTGTGGTGGTAAACTGAATTTGACGGAATGCCGGGAATTCCTGGGGAGAGGGGCAGGAACCAGGCCCTCGGGGCTGGGGTCGAGGCAGATGAGCAGAGTGGGAGGGGTTATGGGGGAAGGTCTGTGGGGTGCAGGGCTCCCAGCGGGCCAGACGCCGCCTGGTCTGGGGTCAGGGTGAGCAGGTGCTCTGTGCCCTTAGAAGCCGCCGGAGCCCCTGCTCACAGCCGCCCGGGGCCTGGAGCCATCCTCGGGGTGCACGCTAGAGGTTTGCCCAGGGCTTGTCAGCTCCTGTGTGGGGCTTTGAGGGGGGAGGGTCTCGGCAGGGAGCAGCCAGGTCTGGGAAGAATGTGCTGTTCTGACTCCAGATGGCAGTTCTGGGCCTTCAACCTCAACCTGAAATTGTCACGCTCTTCAGCCAGTGTGAAATCAACTTAGTGGGTCAGGACCGGCACTTAAAAAACAAATAGAGTAGAATTGAATAGAATATCAGAATTAATACCATAGATTCTTAGAGCTGTACGTGTTGCAAAAAAACGTTTTTTTTTTTTTCTCCAGAGCTACAAACATCCTGGTTATGTGTGTTGTTCGCGTATTGCGAAGGGTGTGGTTTACCGGTGGGTCGTTGTCTGAACAGAGTGAGGTAACGCTCCTGCTTTGTTCTTCTAGAATACACTTCTGACCTTTCTTCCCCTCATGGGGGTGCAGTGTGGACCGACAGGTGTAGGGATTTTTTGCAGGGGGGGGCATGAAGGAAAGGGATTACTCCAGACCGCCCGGGAGGCAGGGTCGCCCTTGAGAAGGTCAGTGGTGGGTATTCAGTTGGTGGACGTGGAGGGGGTGGGAGTCCTGGGTCCACTTTGGCTCGGGGGGCATTATGACTGAGATGTTGTGAGCAGTGCGGTCTGTGGATATTAGGTCCTGTTAAGGAGTGATATGAAAGATGGGATCAGAGTCTGGGTTTGGGGTCAGAACTGGGCTTCAGGTCATCACAGTAGTGGGTTATAATTCCAGCCCGGCTTCCTTGTGATTTTGGGCCCTACTTAGGTTTCTCTTCTTTAAAATAGGGGCTTCTTTTTTTTTTTCTAGAACCAATAAATTTTTATTTATTCATTGTACTTTCCCAGGGTAAAGAGAGAAGGGAAAAGGGTCAGCGTATGTGTTACAAACACTAGCAAGTGGGAAAGGAAGTACCCAGCACAGCAGAATTAACCACCCAGTAAACAGTGCTTGTAGGAGGAGTCACTCAAGCCCACGGGGACTCAGTGTCCTGCAGCTCAGAAAGGGGGGGATCGAGGAAAGAGCAGAGTTACAGGCTTTCCTCGTTCCCCTCCACCTGCCCTGTAAATTCAAGATTGCACACAAAGGTGTGGTTTCTGGTGGTTAGCATGGAGCTGCACTCGTCCGTCTCCTGTTAAACGATCTTGCTGCCACTTTGACATGTTTCTTGCACCTGTGTGGAAATTCCTGAGTGACGTGGATGTACATTCATCTTCCCAGTCTCGGTCCCCCAGCCCTACTTTGTACGTGGAGGGCCCGCTGCCCGCCCCCCCATTGCTTCTGCTTCTCTGTCCCCTAAGATTAGAGATTAAAGTAGGTTTGATCCATCCCAGTACAAGTGTGTTAGTACGAATCACAGCAAGGAATGGTCTTGACACAGGAGATTGGGAACAGAGGTTGGAGTGTTCTTAGCTTCTTCAGGATTTAAGTGTGTGTGTGTGTGTGTGTGTGTGTAAGAGAGAGAGAGAGTGAGGGGGCTTTTTTTGGGGAGGGGGAATAGGAGAGGGGATGGGAGTCAAGTGTTTAGGACAGAAGATCTGGCCGAAAATAGGGGAGGGGAACCCAAGAGAAAGGATGGTTCAGGATCCCCACACTTCAAGAGGGGTCACCGAGCTGTGGTCCAGATTCTTTTCCTGGTGCAGAACCTTTTGTCAAAGATGCTCTGGCTATTTTTCTCAATACAAAAAAGTTTATAAACGATAAAACCTCAAAAGAATATGGAGAAGACCAACACATATTTGTGAAGTCCTACAAAGCCCCCACAAATACAATCACTGGAGCGGGCAGCAATTGGGGGGAGACAGCCCGGGATCAGACGCATGTCACCCGAGGCACTCTGTTGGGTTTGCCCCCTTCCAGCACAGTGAGGTAGGTTTGTGGGGCTGTCCTGGCATGTGAACGGAATCTCCTTTTCTCCTTTAGCCCCCATGACACTCCTCACGGCCCCAGCAGGGCGGGACACTGGCTCTGGGCACCACAGAGAAGCCATGGCTTATGGTCTCTAGAAGCCAATGAGGAAAGCCCAGAATTCACAAAGGTTAAAACATGTTGCCTTTGCCTCAGACACCCATCCCTGGGCAGCTTGAGATGGGTCCAGAGGTATTGTTCTGAAACCTGTCCTTATCCCTGCATTTTTAAAATGCACGCACGCACCTGTTGTGCATCGTAGGCCCAGCCCAGTCTCACAATGGATGGATCTGGTAGAAGAAGGGAGTCCCGGGCCCTGGGATCAGAAGTCTGGAGCAGGAATCCTCTATTACACGTAGAAACGACCCTCAGCCAGTCCTGTCTTCCCCTCTGCCCCTTTCCCCGAGTGCAGCCTCGCCTCGCCTTCCTGCACCACCTGTTCTGTTTAGAACACTCTCCCATCTTCCAAGAGAAGGGGATCAAGTCCTGGGGCAACCCAGTTCATACCTCGTCTCCCACGGAACATGGCAGGTGGCAGGCTTTCAAGAGCTGGCTTTTCAGCCCTAGTGTCCTCTGATTGGCAAAAATGAGGTGGTTGCTTAGACTCTGCCCTCCAAGTAGTTGTCCTCCCTGGTGATAAAGCAAGTATTCTGTGCCAAACTGGAGCTGCCCACTAGCTCGATCAAGCTCCTGAGAACACCAGGCAGGAAGTAGAGCCTTAAGATTAAAACATTACAAAACCACAAAACCAGAATAATTATGGAAAAAAAGTTAAAATGCACAAGATACATCACTCGCACATAGTGCTGTTGGCCGCCTGGCGAGAGTGGGGCCCGGGTGCGGTGGTCCAAGGGAGCAGAATGGGGGGAGGCCTGCAGCTGTTCCCCAACAAGCCCTCTGTTGCGGCAGCCCCTGGCTTGGGACAGTTCTCGGTGGGTTAGGAGATGAGGAAAAACCCTGCCTCAGCCCTGGGAGACTCCCTCCCACACGATATAGTGGTTTGTGGGTTGGGCCCATCCATCTGGTCTCAGGCCGAGCCCCGCGTGCACATTGACCCACTTACAGGGGTCCCCCGGCGCCTTGGCACCGCCACCTGCAAGCAGCTGGGTTGACACAGAGCCCAGGGTTGTCGGCTGAGCCCATGGCCCCTGGTCGGGAGGCCCTGGACAATAGGGGTCTTGCATTGGCTTTGGTGAGGATATTTTGACCTGTGGCTTAATGTCTTTTGTCTGAGTTGGGAAATTCTGGTCATTTCTTCCAGTGCTGCTCCTGTACCCTGTTCTCTCCCATGACACGTGTTAGGTGTGTCATGTATCCACGGTCCTCTGCGTGTTTCTCGTGTCCTTGTCTGTATTTTCCGTCCGTTTTCCACTTTGTGCCTCGGAGGAGCCATCTTCCCATCTCCTGTGTGTCTGCGGGTGGGGGTCCTGAACCATCCTTTCTCTTGGGTTCCCCTCCCCTATTTTCGGCCGGGAGACCTTAGCGGGTCAGGCCTGCTGCAGAGGAGGCTGATCTCTGAAGGAGCTGATCGCTGCTGCTCATTCATTGTGGCAGTCGGGCCTCCACCAGGAACCTTACAGTCCTGCCGGGGAGGCAGGAGCGAGGAGGTGCTGAGGGCACCAGGACGGGAGGACACCGGATGTGCAAAAGCAGGAAGAAGGAGGGCGATGTGTGGAATGGCTTGCGAAATCTGGTCTAGGGAACAGATATGACAAGACTGGGCCAGGAGTGATGAGTAGAGCAAACGGACCCTTGGGAACCCTTGTATTTTTAAGAAGGTGAAAAGTTCAGGGACCCTCATTCCCAGAAAAATGCTTTGCTTTAAAAAAATAGTTCACGCAGGGTGCCCGGCCGGCTCAGAGGAGTGTCAACTTGATCTCGGGGTCATGGGTTTGAGCCCTGTGTTGGGTGTGGAGCCTGTTTAAAAAAAAAAAAAAAAAGGCTTGACTTGAGCAAGGGGGAGGGGTGCTGTGGGACTCTTGTGTCATCATCCTCCGTCCACCTCAGTTATGATGTGACGCCACTTGTCCACGTGTGTTTCTGCTGCTAGTCACGGGCCTCTGGACATGAAAACACTGAGTAACGTCTTAGTAAAAAGGAAATATACCAAGAAAGAGAGGAGGCCACAGAAGAGTGTCTTCTCTGTCGGAAAATAAGGTGTAGGGTGGAGGCGCGGCATTGGCTGTTGGGACGCTGACCCATGTGGGGACATGGTCAGTGTCTCAGCAGCCGCATGCTCTCTGGGGTCGTCATGCCCTCACCCCGCACTCTCGTGGTCCCATCCCAGCCGTAAACCAACAGTGGGTGACTGGGCGTATTTGGTTTTTTGGTTATTTTTTAATTTTGCGAAGAACATTTAAAACAAATAGAACTCCCATCAACCATTCTCATGTTTTAATAATGCAAAAGTGCAAAGCACATGCTCCCAAGATCAAGGACAGGAAGTTGGGTAGCAAGTTTGGTGACCGACTCACTGTGGGCGCAGATGGAGGCCTAGGAGCTAAGCAGAGCCGTACCGCTGGGACGCTGCCACCAGACCTGCGGCTGGGGTTGGGGGGGGGAGCCTTTGGGCCTCGTGTGGCAGCCCCGTGTGCCCAGCCCCCTGGCTCCATGTGCCAAGGTCGCTTGTCTGAAGTCAGGCATCCCCCTCACAGAGCTTTATCAATCGGGCACTCAGTCGTCATTGAGGCCGCGGAGATCAGAGGTCCCAGGGCTGGCAGGCAGCGTGCAGGGCTGACTGCTTGTGGGGTGGCCCTGGGGACACCAACTTGCTGCCTGCAATCCTGGGGGCGCACTCCTGTTTTCCTCTCACAGCGGGTCCCTGCCCGCACCCGCTTGGTGGGGGTGACGGGTGTGGGCGCGTGGTTTCTGCTCCTCCAGGAGGTGCTCTACAAGGGGCGCATGAGTCTGCTTTGCCCCCTGAGGAGCTCTGTGAGGGAGGCGAGGGCAGATACGGTGATGTCTGGTTCAGGTGACTCGTGCCTCAGTGGCCCACGGCCGTGTGCTTGCTTGTGACTGCGCAGGGACCTGAGCCGAGTCTGAGACTGCAGCAGGGTTCCTTGCTGGGCATGGGGGAGGGGGCGGCTCCTGACAGCCTGGGGCCACGCCGTCCAGGGGACTCTGCACCCCTCTTTCCTGATGCCCCGTGCTGTCCCCTGGGGCCAGGATTCAGGAACAGTTTGCTGCAAAGGCAGGGTCCTTGCCCCCCACCCCTTTGTGTGTCCTCTGGCTTAGAAGATGTGTTATGACAGTGCGGGCCCAGAACGGTGCCTGGCACACAGTGTGTTGTCCATAGAAATCTCTGGGGCTGTGGCACAGAAGCCCCCGTGAGCCTTGCTCTGTAAACAGCCCGGGGTTTCTGGCAGGTACAGCTACGTCTTCCCACCCAGGGCACCTTTCACCAAGCCTACAGCTACGTCTTCCCACCCAGGGCACCTTTCACCAAGCCTCCTTCCCGACGGCGCTGTTTGTTGGAAGGTGTTTTGTTTTTCCTTTTCTCAGCCTCTGCTGTCTGTCTGGGCCGAAGCCCAGGGTGCTCCAGGGCGGACTTGTTGGGCTCCGATAACCTCCAGGGGGACTGCAGGGAGGAGAGGCTGAGCTGGGGGCCTGGGAAGCTGGCGCAGGGCTCTCCTCTCTCTGGGGAGAACCCTCCTGCTTCCCCTCCATTTCTTGACTGCAAAAGCTCTGTTCTTGAGAGAAAGGCTACCTTCCTGGCAGGGGCCGGCACCTCCTCGCAGGCCAGGACGGAGGCCAGGCTGCCGACTGCTGCCCCGGGGCCGCAGAGCTGGCTCTGTGGACGGTTGGTTGTCTGCCAGGACTTGCTGGCCGGCCGTGTGGGCCGAGCTGATGATGGCTCCCAGCGCCCTGAGCACTGGGAGGACTGAGGTGGGGCCGAAGAAAATGGGTCACACGTGGAGTGAGCAAGTGGGGCTCCAGGCGTCCCCACCAGGCCTCGGGAAGTCTGAGCGGAAGCCTCCAGTACCACCTGGTTCTGGGAGAGGAAGAGCCTGGCTGGGCCTTGTGCTTTCCTCTCGACAAGGCTCTGAGAATGACTGGAAGCTCGCTGGGTGGGGGAGGGCTGGTTTATTCTTGGTTCACTAGAGGGGGAGCTCCTGAGGTCAAGGTCAGGGCAGCTGGGCTGGCCACAGTGGGGAGCCCGTCGGCTGCTGCACCTCCAGCTCCCTGGGAGCTCGCAGGCCACCGAAGGAGCCTAAGGCGGTCTTTGTGTAACGTCTTTTGGTGATCTAATGACAGGTCCTTGCCCTTGGAGAGCTTTGGCCCTGCCCGGCAGCCTAGAAATGGCCAGGGAAGGGTGTGACAGAACTTCTGAGGGGGACGACGACAGGCAGGGGAGCTGGGGGGCCACCTCTGCTCGCGGTGGCTAGGCTGGTTAACCCGAGGCTTGTCTTTGGACTTGATGCAGGCAGATGCAGAGAGACCTTGGTGAGGGTCATTGTAGTTTGAAGGTTAACCTTGCTTGTTATCACTTACTTTGCAAAGGCAGATACTGTGCTGGGTGGGGCGGGGTGGGCAGGCAGCAGGGAGTTAATGTTTAATTGGCGCGGCTGCTCTTAGCTATTTCAGCTCCGTGCCCAGTGCCCTCTGGAGCTGGTCAGAGCTAAAACAGGCCCGGTTGCCAGATGGCCTTGGTGGACCTGAGGGCCCTTTCAGGTGCCTGGCTTCTTCCTATGGCTTCCAGAACTTGGCTCATCCTGCCCTGCGCTGCTTGTATGCGTGAGTGCTTGGAGCATGGCCGGGCCAAACCAGGCCGTGCTCGGTGCGCGTACACGCTGGGTTTTGAAGACTCTGTACAAAACCAAAACAAAACCGTGAAATACCTCTGATGATTTTTACACACAAGAGGACTTAGTAATATTTTGGATGTATTATGTTAAATAAAATACACGTTGCGCATTCACTTCGCATGCTTCTTTTTGCCTTTTTTTTTTTTTTTTTTACTGTGGCTACTAGAAAATTTACCCTTCTGCACGTGGCTGGCCTGGTGCCTCTAGGCAGCAGTGCTGTCACCACATTGAATGGGAGCAGTGACGGTCCGCAGCAAGCGCCGGAGCGCTGCCTGTCCCACTGGGAGCTCTCACTCTCAGTCGGCTGCTGAGGCCTCGCCGTGACCTATGGGGCTGGTGACGCACACACTGCACCCTTGCCTGATGGTGGCTAAGATGCATTGCAAAAGCACGTTGTAAGGTTGGGTTAAAACCTTCTTTGGGTTTTAAAATTATTGTTCTATTATTTGTTGGCTATTATTTTTTGCTAAATAAAATTTTGAATAAATTCAATAGTATTTTTCATAACAGTGCAAAACTGGGAAAAATACAGAAGCACATGCTGGATTCCTCGCCCGTTAAACAGTGCGCCGGGCGGAGCTCACGCCTCTGGGCGTGGGGGCTGCGTGTGCCACCCGCCTCCTGGCCCCACGGGCATTGGCGTCTTCGGCGTCTTCTGTGGGCCCCTGCTGTCCCTTCTGCCGTGGCCGGTGCGCTCACGCACGTGTCCTCCACTCTCTGCTAACGGGTGCCCCCACGCCAGCGAGAATCGTGCCTCAAGTAGAGGCAGCAGGTCCTGACCGGACCCCTGGGCTTTCTCTGTGACCCCAGTGGCACCTGCTGTGCTCCGTGGGCCTCTCCTGGACAGCTGGGGTCGGGCATTTCTGGCCTCTGGACAAAAGAGGTATTGATGAACTTTGATTTTGAAGATTGTGAAACACAGTGTTTAGATGAGAAATTGACTGCCGCCCCCGTTGTCCTCAGACCACTGTCCGCACCCTGCAGGCCCTGGTGGGCAGCGAGTCTCCATGGCTTTGCCTTCGCAGACTGTTCTGACTCCCACCAGCGACTCCTTTCTATCACTGTACTGACGCCTTTCCTTCTTGGGGCAGTGGAGTCAGAGAATTCTAGAGGTGGAGCTCTTCACGCTGAAGGGGGTGGCTGCGTTCCAGCGGGTGCCCCGTGGGGTCAGGATGTCCTCGGCCCATGGACCGTTGCTGCTCCGTGTTCTGTTTGTGCTGGGAAACCGTGTCCCACGCATGCGCATTCTTAGGGCCTTCACGTGCCCTGCGAGCAAGGGGGGTGGGGGTGGGGGAAGCTTTTCCACGGATGGCGCCACACCTCTGAAAACAGCACGTGTGTCCTTCCTCTCTCTCTTCCCCCTTCTCAGAACGTCTAGACTGTCAGCAAGTGTCCCTGGGGAGCTGCGGTGGGTGACCTTGTGAGGCTGCTCTGGGCCTCACGGATGGAGGGGTGGTAGGTAGTCCCCACACCAGCACCCAGCACTCCTTCTCCTCCTTGCAGGTCTGGCCGTGGGTCTAGGCTTTGGGGCACTGGCTGAGGTAGCCAAGAAGAGCCTCCGCCCAGATGACCCTTCAGGTGAGCTGGGCCCTGGGAGGTGGGCCACTTGGCCCCCAGCCCCTCCATGTTCCTGAAGTGTGGGCCTCCAGGGGCCGTCTCCTGTCCTGTGTTCCACATAAATGGCGCCCCGGAGTCGTCTGCGGCCCGAAGGCTGTTCTAGCTGGCCTGCCCAGCCCTTCCCGGCTCCCCCGGTGGCCGGCACACCTGCCCGCTTCTGATTCACTTTTGGCCCTGCGTCTGCCTTGCTATGCGGGGCTGTTGGAGCCCAGAGCTCCCCACGGGGCAGTGGGTGAGGGGTGTCCGTGCTGCTGGACCAGACCCCTCAGGGCCCTTGGTGTCCCCACCTCCGAGACCTGCCCTCTGTCTCTGAGGTGAGCACCCTGACTCCTTTGTCCCCTGCCTCCCAGGGGCCATGAGGTCAGGTCACCACCGTCAGCCCTCCCTAGTCCTGGTGGCCAGGTCAGGGTGGGACTCCATGGAGAAAGTTCGGCAGACTGGCTGCTCTGAATTTTGTGGTGCTCATGATGCCGTGATGTTGGGTCAGGGCAGCTCGGGGTGTAGGGGGCTTTCCCTTCCCTGGAGTCCCGAGAACAGCGCTGGGAGAGCCCTCTGCTCGGTGGATTTCTCCAAATGTATTTGAAGATCTGGGTTGGGTGCCCCCTGGCCCATTCAGGGAACATCAACTCCTTTCTGGGGGTACACCCAGGGACACCCCACTGTGCTGTTGCACTGTGACCCCCGAAGCCCCAGCTGGGGGCCCTGAGGGGAGCCTGCCACACACCTGGATGGCCCCTCTTCCCCTCAAGACCCTCCTGTGGGGACGAGGGGCCTCATGGAGAAAGGACAGTGGTGTGTCCCCACAGGCCAGAGAACAGGGTTCCTGGGGCACATCGAGTGTCCTTGGAAGGGGCCTGAGGACAGAGAGGGTTTAGCGAGGGTATTTTTAGTGTTGGTGCTGAGACACTTTGAAAACGAAGCCTGGCTTTCTCTGGAATGAGAAGCCGGTGTTCTCCGCACCCCCCCTCTGTCCCTGGAAACTGGCTGCTCTTCGGGCACCTCGGCCAAGCAGAGAAGAGGCAGGACTGGCTCCAAGGTTACAGGTGGTGACCTTCATCAGGGAAGTGGTGACCCTGGCTGGGGGTCAAGGGGCCTAGGGACCATGGCCTGAGAGCCGGGGTTGGGGGGCCTGGGCAGCCCCTAGGCTGCGTTCCAGCTCTGAGTGGGCTCTGGAACCCATGGCCTGGAGGATGCTGACCAGCCCGGCCCGGTCAGCCCCAGCAGAGCTGCTCCTGAGTGGGAGGCCTGCCCACCATGGCCCAGCTCCCCCAGGCGGCTCTCAGAACTGGCCATGCCCAGGCGGGAGCACATACCTCTGGGCTGTGGGAAGGGGCTGCTTGGAATGCCCGAGAGGGCCGGGTCCCCAAATCTCAGGAGTGCTGCAGGCAGCCCAGGGCTGTGTGTGGGGGGAGCGCAGATCTGCCTCCTCCTCAGCCTCCCTTCTCCTCCCTGCCTTTCCACTGGGGCCCAGGGTTTGGGGGGGGCAGTGCACACAGAGGGGCCCCCATTCTCTCAGCTCTGGCTCAGGGCAAGGGGGTAATGTGGGGCCCCTTCTTGGCCCAGCTCCCAAGGGCGGGTCCGGCCTCACGTAGCTGCCCTCGGGGGGCAGAAGATCCGCGGGTGCTCTCGGGGGCTTCTCGTCTGCAAACTGAATGTCCCTGGGGCTTAGTCCCCATGTCCCCCCCACCCCCCATCTGTCAGAGGCCAGGCTGGACGCAGCCCCTGGGGCAGAGTTCCTTCCTGGAGGACGCAGCTCCCCCACTCCGAGTGCTGAGGACAGTGCCATGCACTGTGGGGATAGCTGTGGGCAGAGATCTAACCAGACTCAAAGGACAGAGCGCAGGGAAAGCAGTGGGTGTCCCAGGGCTGGAAGAGCTGGGGGGGTGGGTCCCGACCAGGGTGGACTTGTTCCTGCGGCCAGGCTGTGCTGGGGTTGGGGTGAGGGGGCAGACGCCAGAGCGGGTCCTGATGTCCTTGTGGCCACGCGGTAGCAGCCCTCCCATGTCCTCACCCTGCAGCCTACCACCCCTGGTTGTATTGGACAAAGGTCATCTGCACCCATGAGGTTACTGTACCTCGGGGGCCTCTATGGGCAGACAGCAGCCGGCTGAGTGCTGTCCTTGACCCTGTGCTCTCCTCCCCGGAGGACGGCCCTCTCCTGTGCCAGCTTGCCTTGTAGTGACCTCAGGGGTAGAGGTGACCTTTGTCCCGTATGTGGGTGGGAGGGACAGTAACGGAGTCCTCACATGGGTCCCTCCAGGTCCCTCCCTCCTGGTGCCTGCCCCCTACGTGCCGCTATGGCCTTCTGTGCTGTCCCCATCAGGCCCCAGGGATGGATACGGAGGGAGGGGCTCTGCGTGTGTAAATGTGTGCGCGTGCGTGTGTTGGGGGGCTGCTAAAGTCAGGCCTGGGAGAGCTGGGTGGTCCTGAAGGGCCTTCCACAGCATCGGGCAGGTGGGTATGCGGCATGGAGTGTAAGTTGCATTGCTGGTTTTAGGGGCCTCAGGAGGCTGGTGCCAGTGTGAGCGCTCCTATTTCTTCACGCTGCACTTGAAAATCCCCCATACCCCTAAGTTCTGTATTGTCCCTGTTTTTATGACGCTGGAGCCTGGGGCTGATGGCCTGGGATGCACTCAGGCTCCCTGGTGCCCCGGGCCGAGTGATGAGACGAGCTGCGGCTGCCCCATGTGGCCAGGTCGGGTGAGGCCTGCAGACACCCCGGGAGGCGACGGGTGGGCACATGCTGACCCAGCTCCTGCCCACAGGGAAGAAGGCCGTGTTGGATTCCAGCCCCTTCCTGTCGGAGGCGAACGCGGAGCGCATAGTGCGAACGCTGTGCAAGGTGCGCGGGGCAGCGCTCAAGCTGGGCCAGATGCTCAGCATCCAGGGTGAGTGCATGCTGGGGGCTGGAGCCGTGGGGGCCCCACTCCGGAGGGGACTGGGGGATGTTCCCCCACCACTGGCCCCTCTTGCTTGAGTCCTGGCTGTTGAGCAGCCAGGATGTTTAAAAACATACTAAGTAGGAGCCCGTGGTGGTTTTTCTTGCTTTGTTGTGGGTGTTTTGGCATCTCTGGAGGTGATCCTCACATCTCCCAAGTTGGTGAGAGTCCCACTGCTGCCAGCGCCCCCTACTGTCACGTGTGGGGGCCGGAGGGTGCAGGGGGGCGGGGGAGAGGTTTGAAGACGAGTCCCCTCCTGGGCCCGCAGCTGGGCTCACGGAGGGCATAGGATGGAGTTAATCCCCGGGGCAGGCGGGGTGCGTCTGCAGCCCTTCCATGGACCAGCCCCAAGTGCAGGACCCCTGTGTGGTGACTCCTCGCAAGGACAGTGTCAGAGATGCGCGCCGGGCTCTGCGTGGGAGAAGCATCCTCAAAGCATCCTCCGTGGCCTGGACCCACAGCCCCAAGCGAGCAGCAGGTGGCCGAGGTGGCGGCTCTCAGGACTTGTGTGCAGGACGTCATGCTCCTGCCCTTGGCGCGTGGCAGAGCATTTCAGAACGCTGATACCACGGGAAACCACCATGTGAGGAAAGCTGGTCGGAGCGGCCTCATGAGGGGCCACCATGGCTCCAAAGAGATGCATTAGGAATAGTGTCAGAAGGGGAAAAACAGTTCTCTGTAGGTGGTCAGGTTCTGGGTGTTTCTGAGCTCTTACGCCACTTTATTTCTGAAATTTGCTGCTTTTATAATCCCAAAAAGCTTTGCCTGTTATTTCTAAGAAATCCACCTTCTCAAGTCACTGGTGAGTCAGCAAACTTGAGTCAGCAAGCCATGGCACCTGCCGCCCCATGCCGGGGCCCTCGGGCTGCACGGACGCCCCCTGCGCCCCAGGGGAGGCTGTCTCGGGCCTCTGTTGTTGGCTATGGGGCCCCGGGAATGTGCACAGCCCAGCCTGGGGCCCTGTGTCCTCCCTGGAGCCTTTGTCCACAGCCCTGGGGGCCATGGAGGGGGCTGCTCTGCTCCTGACCCATGCGCCTGCCTTCTGAGGGGTAGCCCTCTGCCGATTTCTGGTACCTTCCAGATGATGCTTTCATCAACCCCCACCTGGCCAAGATATTTGAGCGGGTGAGGCAGAGCGCGGACTTCATGCCGCTGAAGCAGATGATGGTGAGCGGACAGGGCCTGGGAGGGGGGGTCTGGGTCTTCTGCCGCCCCTTCCCCGCCTTGGGTGGCAGCTGTGGCAGCCCGTGGGAGGGGGCAGCCTGGGGGTGCTTCTCAGGGTGTCCCGGCATGGGCTATGCTCACGGCCCCTCCCTGGCTCCTCCCACCAGAAAACGCTCAACAATGACCTGGGCCCCGGCTGGCGGGACAAGCTGGAGTACTTTGAGGAGCGGCCCTTTGCGGCCGCCTCCATCGGGCAGGTGCATCTGGCTCGCATGAAGGGCGGCCGCGAGGTGGCCATGAAGATCCAGGTAGGCACCCGGTGTGTGCATCCACCCCTGTGGGGGCTGCAGAGGGCTGGGCCCAGGCCCTGCAGTGTTGGGGTCTCCTCACCCTACACCCCCGTGCGCCCCCTCTGCAGAGCAGCACCTGTGTTTGCTCAGCACTGGGCACTGGGAAGTACCTGCTGAGTGAGTGCAGGTAGAACAGCCTCCCTGTGAGCTTGGTGTGGGCGGGGCCAGGGGACAAGTCAGTGTTTGCTCAGGGGGGATGGGGCCCTGACTGCTTGGCGGGGGAGGGGCTGATGGAGAACAAAGTCACCTGGGAGGTCCTGGCAGCATTGTAGGGTTACATCTGTCACTCGCCCAAGGTATGGGGTCTGGGTGGGACTGGGCTGGGAGAGCAGGGCTCCCTCACAGGACCCGGCCCTGCCTGCCCGGGACCCCTCTGCTACCCCCTGCAGTACCCTGGTGTGGCACAGAGCATCAACAGTGACGTCAACAACCTCATGGCCGTGCTGAACATGAGCAACATGCTTCCCGAAGGTCTGAGATTGGCCGCAGGGTCAAGGGCAGGCATGCAGGACGGGCTCTGGGGACCTGTGGGGGCCGCCTTGGGGAGCCCCCAGCCCCCGCTGACACCCTCCTCCCTGGCGCAGGCCTGTTCCCTGAGCACCTGATCGATGTGCTGAGGCGGGAGCTGGCCCTGGAGTGTGACTACCAGCGAGAGGCTGCCTGCGCCGGGAAGTTCAGGTGGGGCTTGCAGCCAGCAGCTCCCACACCGGAGACAGAGGGGCCGCTCGGGGCAGCCCCCGGGGTGGATGAAAGCCCCTGCGGCTCTGAGGGGTGGGTGGTGGCGATTGGGGCCTGGGGTTGTGGCCAAGTTTTGTCCCCAGAGTGAGGGTGGGAGGCTCTGGGGCCAGGGTTTGACTGTCCCAAGCCGCCCCCTAGGGCGCTGCTGAAGGACCACCCCTTCTTCTACGTGCCTGAGATTGTGGACGAGCTGTGCAGCCCCCATGTGCTGACCACAGAGCTGGTGTCCGGCTTCCCCTTGGACCAGGCTGAGGGGCTGAGCCAGGAGATTCGGAACGAGGTGTGTCTGACCATGGCCTTGGCCCCGAGGTGCTGCTTCTAGGGATGAAGGGGACAGGGCTGTTGTGTTCCCCCTGCCAGGGACACGTGGAGTCAAGAGTCCTCGTGTGGACAGCGGGGGGGCGACCGGAAGAGGGGGGAGGGCGGGAGGGGGTTCCCCAGGCCCCAGAGTCAGCCTGGTGCCACCATGACCAGGGCTGCTCCCTGCCCCTCCCCCCGCCCCCCAGATCTGCTACAACATCCTGGTCCTATGCCTGAGGGAGCTGTTCGAGTTCCATTTCATGCAGACAGACCCCAACTGGTCCAACTTCTTCTATGACCCTCAGCTGCACAAGGTGAACCCCTGGGAACTTCACTGGAGAGGGGTCTGCATAATCGGGGGTCTTGGCCCCTGCTCCACCGGGCTAAACTTCTCCGGTATTGCTCCTTCCCAGGTGGCTCTTCTGGACTTTGGGGCAACTCGGGAATATGACCGATCCTTCACGGACCTCTACATTCAGGTTGGCGGGGGGCCGGGGCCTAGGATCGGCCCAGGGGACACTGGGAGAGGGGAGGGTGACGGGGCTGCTGTCCTCCCACCCCCGGTGACTGTGGGTGAGGACGAGGCCCGTCGGGCTCACAGGCTGGGGGCTTGGAAGGAGTGAAGGGGACAAGGTGGGGGGCAGGCAACTGGGGGCTCCCTGGCTCCCGGGAGCGCCTCCTCCCCTGCCACTCACAGCCCCTCCTGGGTGTCTGCCCAGATCATCAGGGCAGCTGCCGACAGGGACAGGGAGGCGGTGCTGAAGAAGTCCATAGAGATGAAGTTCCTCACTGGCTATGAGGTCAAGGTCAGCTCCCTGTGGCCTTTGGAGCTCCGCAGGCCCCGCTCGTGGGGAGGGTGGGCAGTGGGCTGCTTTTCCCCAAACTTTGACTTAAGAAATGAAGTGAGAGGAGTTAGTGCCCTGGAGAACTCTCCTTGGGTCTGCCTTCACCCCTGCTCCCTGGGCATCCTGGGTGTGGCAGGATGAGGCGTGATTGGAGCCTCAGGCGATGGGTCAGTCAGGAAGCCCATGCCCCTCCCTCCCACCCACCTGTTGATCCGGAGCTGGGGCTTAGTGAGTGCAGGGGGAGGGCACAGCCTGGCCCACCTTCTGAGGTCTGGGGGCCGGCCGGCAGGGGCCTGGAGCCGGCTCTGCAGCCCTTTAAGTGTGGGGGCACTGGTCTGTGTTCCTGTCCCCTGAACTGTCACCAGAATTCCCCGAGAGAGCAGCCCTTTCCCCTCCTTGCCAGGGGGGAGGCTGGGCGTCCGGGCCACCCTCAGGAGGCGTGCACAGGCCGGCAGCCAGGCCTCCAGGCTGTCAGGCTTTGGCCGCCATGCTGTGCCTGGGGCCCCTGCCCACCCTGCCTCATGTGAGACCGGGGCACACAGCAGGCTTCCCCCCTGGCCCCAGCTACCGTTCCTTAATCTCGTTAATCATCAGATGCCCCCTTTGAGCCTCCTCCCCTTCAACGCCACCTGGTGGGACAGCTCTGTGCCAGGGCGCGGCCCCACTCACCCTCTGCCCCACCCCACCCCCACCAGGCCATGGAGGATGCCCACCTGGACGCCATCCTCATCCTGGGGGAGGCCTTCGCCTCGGAGGAACCCTTCGACTTCGGCACGCAGAGCACCACCGAGAAGATCCACAACCTGATCCCTATCATGTTGAGGCACCGGCTCATCCCGCCCCCCGAGGAGACCTACTCCCTGCACAGGAAGATGGGGGGCTCCTTCCTCATCTGCTCCAAGCTGAAGGCCCGCTTCCCCTGCAAGGCCATGTTTGAGGAGGCTTACAGCAACTACTGCAAGCAGCGGGTGGCACAGCCCACTCCGTGAGCCCCCGCCCGGTGGTTTCCCTCCTGGGGACGCTAGCAGAGGGGGACAGGACTGCCGTGGGATCCTTGCCACCCGAAATACGGAGAAGCCTGAATGTACATATAGGATGAGGCTTGTGTGTTTCTAGAATGAGATTTGTGTTTTGTGCCCTTTGCTCGAGCCTGTGTTCCGAGCGGTGCTGGCAAAAGCCCTGTTTGCTGAGGCCCTGCCTGCTCTTGGGCTGGGCTGTGTACTGTGGACAAGTGGACGTTTCTGGACCCATGGAAGGAGATGAATGTGCCAGTGTCACCTGGTTATATCTGAGGGCTGTTCATTTTTGTACAATTCTTGTATGATTTGTTTCAATATTAAAAAAGACAAAAACCCACCCTCCTAGCATCATGGTGTGAATTCTTCTACACATAATGGGCACCGAGCTGATGGTGACCAGCCCGAGGTCAGTGTCACACCCTAGGCCGCCTCCAGATACACCTGAACGCTCAGCCCAAATTCATCACTGGGGGGGAGAGGGAAGATGTGTGCCCCCTGCACACACCACATATGCAGAAGAGCCAACTGGGGGGCGGTGACCCCTACCAGCAGGGTCTGCCTGGCTTGCACCCCAGGGGGCCAGGCCGCTGCTGAGGGAAGCCTCCTGGCCTGTGGTTTTTCCCACGGCAAACTGAATTCCTAGGTGCGGGCATCTGTGTGCACGGCCGTGGGGCCCCCTTGCAGCCTGGTACCGTGACAGGTGTACCAGATGGTGAAGGACGCAGGGAGACTGCTCCAGGACAGGATGGGAGGTCTGGCTGGTCTCGGTGACAGCAGCTAGGGGCCTGGTGCCCAGCATCACCTGCTCAGAGCTGTCGTGGCCCTTCTGAAGGCTGTTTTTGTGCATTTTTTAAAACATAGTTTCTGCATTTATGCACCGCCTTCTGGGACATTCAGGGCTGGCAGGGTGTAGGACAAACCGGCTCAGAGCCCATGTGGCTGCTGAAGGTCAGGATCTGGAACGAGGGCAGCCATGCGGCCCGATTTTCCTCTCCGCTCCCCAAGGGCCGGCAAACGGTGGTCCACGGGCCACATCAGGGCCTCTGCCTGTGTGGAAGTTGTCATCTGGGGACCCAGCTGTGCGCATTCCCACCCGAGCTAAGGCCATTTGGGGCAACAACGGCCACAGAACCAACAAAGTAGAAGTTTTCACTGGCCCTTTATGGAAAGCTGGCCAAGCCTCGCTCTCACCCACTGCACCAGGCCTCTCTGGAGAGGCGGACGTTACAATGCAGCGCCCCGCCAAGAACAGGAAGGTAAACTGCATGAGAAACGGAACCAGGGAGGGGGCCTCAGGATAATGAGGCACAGCCAGCTTCAGATTTCCTCTGGTAAGAGCCCGTGGGCTGGCTGCGCGTCCCCAGGTGGGCCGTTCTAACCAAGTTAGGGACACGAGCAGAGGCACTAACGTGCCCGAAGGATCTGCCGCTGCCCTGCAAACAGCAGACAGAAAACCAGCCGGCTGCCTGGTTTGTATGGTTTTGACAGCCGGTGTGTGTGTGTGAGGGTGTCTGGCTGTGCAGAGGGTACCCTGCGGGTCAGGTGCACACAGAGCAGGCCATGGAAGCCTGCGGCAGGGCCTGGCCTCACCCATGGCCTGACGTGTTCTGGAATTGCTAGCTGGAAGAGAACGGAATGCCACCCTTACCTGAGCTACGGGGCGGAACTAGGAAAAGTCCCTGGTTAAACTAATCCCGCATCCTTCTGCAGGCTAAGGCGGGCGCCTGGACCAGGAGGGGGACCGGCAGGAAGCAGGATCTAGGAAGACGAGGAGAGTCAGTCACCTTTCCTCCACTGCTCAGACCTTTCAATCAGGGAAAGACAGACAGGACCGTCAGGTCTAACAGCTCCCTGTTTTATTGCAATACATCAAATTCTGGTTAATATTAAGTGATACCAACATAAAATATTGGCGAGGAGTCTTGTTACATTTTTACTATCCCACCTTAAATATTTCTGTGCAAAAGAATCTACACCACTGTCTGGTAGCAGAGAATCTGCTTATAAACCTCTCTAAGACATTGAGGGCATAAAACCAAACAAAAGGAAATACAGGCTAAAGCAGTATCTTTTTCCCCTCCATACACACATTTGCCAGCATTATATTCTAAACAAAAAAAATGATTACACCTAGGCCATGCAAAACTGTACAATATTACAATGAGAAAAAACCCTAAAAAATTTATAAAATAAATGATAGTACACTATCAAATAAAAAGGCAGGTCATTTTGTTTTCATGAAAGTTTCCAGGTTTGTTCTCCTCCTTTGCCCCTGTAAGTGACGTGGCTCCTCGGGTGTGGCGCTCGTCCCTGGGAAGGGAGGCAGGCCGGCCCACTGGCCAGCGCTGGGTGGCCGACGGCTCCAGTGGAAGCCAGCCCTCTTACCCAGCCGGACTCTGCCAAGAATCTGAACTTGAACGATAACTGAAGTCAGAACAAGGAAAGAGGTCTAACAGGCTCAACGAACGGTCATGCAGCTTACCTACTAACTCGGGCTGGGCCAGGGAGCAGGGGAGCGGAGGGCCAGACTACTTCCTCGTCTGCCCAGCGTGTGTGACCGCTGCGACGGACGGACAGACAGCCCTGCCGTACCCGGCGTTCGGTGTGCCTGCCGTGCCCTCCCTGGCTCTTCTGGAATGAGACCTGAGAGTGCACAGAAATGCACACAGAAATGCAGCGGGTCTTTCACGGAAGTCGATGTGGCCACTAAGTAACAAAATGACAGGACTCTAACCATACAGAAGGCAGAGAGAGGAATGACAGATTGTTGCTGTAAACGTAACAGAATTTCAGATTCTTCCCAGAAGCCTGAGTACGAGAACCATGTGGGAAACTGAACAGAGGGGCCCTTCCAGCTCCAGCCCAAGCCTTCCAACCGTGCTTCTGGGAACGAGCGTGCTTCGCTGACGTAGGGGTGTGCGTGTGTCCCAGAACTACAAAAGTGAAATCTGCTTTAGTGAGCATTTGACCAGGAGGAAGGCTTTTGTTTTTGGCAAAAAAAAAAAAAAAAAAAAAAAAAAAAAAAAAAAAAAAAAAAAAAAAAAAAAAATATATATATATATATATATATATATATAATTTTTATATACCCAGACCACACAAGATTAGTTAGAATTCAAGGGTAGACAACAAATTGGCTGGACATAAATAGCACCAAAATACTAATACATACAGACTATTCTAGAAATGCCTCACTGATCTGTCCTTCCTACTGTGAAATGTGTGCCTACTGCCAGGTGTGATTTTAAAAGGTCCTGCAAGAGAATCGAGCAGGACTTCGGGCAGCAATACCCCCTCCCTGGTCTTTGCACCTACCTGTGTAGGTTTTCTGTTTCCCTAGAACCCATTCCCCGCCTTTTCAGATTCTTCTTCTCAGAAGCTTCTGCTGGTAACTGCTTTGTATCTGAGAGGGGGGTAAGCCCAGGAGAAGGATTGTTATCTTAGGAAGAACCGCCCCCTTAAACTGTTCCCCGTGGCCCCAAACTCTTGCCGTCAGGATCGGTCCTATCCAGCACTGCTCTACTACAACTTAAGACTGCTGGGGACTGACCAGAAAGTGCCGGGGGGCAGGTCCCTGGGTCATTACCGCCTTGGGGGGGCTCTCTCCTCTGCCCTGCTGTGACTCACCGCAGTGTCGTCCGGACCTCAGGTAGGGTGACACTTGGATCCTAAAAGCATCCTTTAAAAAATAAGCACCTACAGGCAACACAAATTCACACATAGTTGTCGAACCTACAACGAATGGCTTAGTGCGGAGTCCCGTGACTCACAGCTGGGAAGCAGGAGGGGAGAGGCGAGGGGCCGGAGGGGGCTGGTCAGGAGGACAGGAGGCAGCTGGCCGCAGGCCCTCAGGGGAACGCCAAGTTCATGGATGGGGCTACCGGGTCACAGGGCAGGGACCAAACTCAAGGTCTGATCCTGGGCATCTGGACGTACAGGAGCATCTCACACAATACTTCTTTCCCCAAAGCAGAACGACGGAGAGGGTCCCGGCCAGCATGCGCGTGCACAGGTGGCCCCCGTGGGCCCTCTCTCCCCTCACCGAGCCTCGGGCGCCTTCTCAGAGCAGCACTGACCGGACGCCCTGGGGCGGCCACAGAGCTCGGACACTGCCACTCGGACTCCACACGCGCCTAAGCTGAGAGAGAGGAGGAACTCTTGTCGCTAGTTCTCAGAGAAATTTAGATAAAAAGGAAGAGAGCCAGATTCTCTTTACTTCCATGAGATATTTTTATTTCTTTCTCTGCTCATGTGCTTAACTGAGGAACTAACTGTGAAGGACTCCAGCCCTCCGGGGTGCGTACTCACTTCCCGGTGTTGGTGGGAACAGCACAGTGCCACCGGGGCACCTGCCTGGTGGGCCCAACACTTCTGTTTTCCACTGGGGGCGGGGAAGAGTATTTGGTTAAGGCTGTGCAAGTCCTTGCATTTGAGGTTTTCTATTATTTGGTAATTAAACTCTCAGGCTTCTCTGAGGGGGGCCCTGGCCAAGGACGCCTCGTGGCAACGCAGGGAGGAACAGGCTTAGCCCAGGAGGAAAGCACGTCTAGGAACCTTTTTAGGGACCTTCAGAAGCCATGACATCGCTTGAGTGCTTTCAAAGGAAGGACTCAGGAGGTGACGAGACCACATTTCTACATTCATCTGCAGAAGATAGCAAAATACAGTAAAAACTGAGGAGTGTGGTTCGAATTCTACCATTACCAAAAGATCTGGAAGTAAATTTGCCTGTTCACGCTGCTGCTGAAGAGGCATCCTGGGCTGGGTCTGGTGCTTGGGCCGCAGTCCAGAGCAGTCGGACCGGGTTTCGAAATGTTTTCCTGCAGCCCCTGAGGACCGTGGCTGCGACCAGAGAGGAAACTCTGACTCTTTGCGCTGTCTACCAAGGTCTAGAATGTCAGCTTGAGGCCTTCCTACCCTTTACATTACTTAGCTGGAAAACAGACGAGAAACAACACATTTCTTTAAATTAAATGATCTCTCTCTTATATAGGAATCCAACTTTTGCTGAATACAAGATGTTTTTTACTATATACATTCAGTATTTAACCTCTACATTTGTGTACTTATTTAAAATCTGTATTGTAGTAAAATATGCACTGTTTTAGTGAATAAGGATTTACTGGCAATGATCAGGTCGACACTGGCTGTGGGTGCTGGAGGAGGGCGGGGGGCCGGTGGGGGGACCCATGTGCTGCCCGGGGTGCTGAGACTCTGCCGTGGAAAACCAGTCTGCCTGACGTTCTTCCCGTGCACATCTGCAAGGTCTACTCGAGCTACCTTCAGGGAGGGGGACACGATGATGGGAAGCAACTCTAAGTATGAAATGGAATCGATATTCATTGAAGCTGCTCAGTGGAAGTCTGCCTTGATGGTGGCTGTTGTTAAGTCAAGGGGGTGCAGGGGATGTGGGGGGCATGGGGCTGCAGGTGCAATCGTCCGTGTCCCTGAGCCCCCACCCTGCTCCTGCCGCTGGCCCTGGGCCTTCCAGGCAGGGGCGGAGGACGGACGTGGAGACAGGGCAGTGGAGGGGGCTGAGAGGGAGAAGCTGCTCTGGCGTCCACTCCGAGCACCAAAGCCGCTCATGGGTCCCAGCTCCCGCGGTCGGTGCTCTCCAAGGAGAGGCTCTTGGTCTTCCGGGGTGACACTGGGCTGGGCGGGCTGCTTAGGTTGGAGCTGTTGGAAGCTGTGGAGTGCCTTGGGGAATCTGAGTCCTGTGGGGCCCCGAGAAGACATTAGTGAGAAGCAGAGGTGCAGGAGGGGCTCAGCTCCCCATAGGCGACCCGCGGCCACCTGAGCAAGTAAGCCAGTGTGACTGGTCTACCATCAGTAATGAAGCCCCTTTTCTGAGGCCAGTAAAGGGCACAGAATACGGCAAATGTTCAACAGTCCTTTCTGCAGGCCTTTAGAAATGTGGGTCCCTGTCATACAAAAGCTGTTAGAACATCTGTGCAAAACTGCAGTGTGCAGCCCAGGAGACCAGCCATGTCAGCACCCCCAACCTTGCTCCTGGCTGAGCAGGCCCCTGAGTCCCGACCCCTGGCTGCAGCTGAGCCCACTCTCGAGGTGGTGGCATCACTTTGGTAAGTGTACGAATCCTTTTAACACAGGACTTCTCCAGATGTGACGTCACTGCTGCCCACACCCCACTCACCTCTCCGTCGAAGTCCCTGGCTGGGGCGTCACTTCCCTGGTCCATGCCTCCGGAAGACAAGGAGCCCTCTGACGGGGAGGGCATGGGCTGCCACTTTGCGTTGTAGCTTCCTCCAGAGAATTCTCTCTTTAATGCACTGCCGTTCTGTGCAGAGGACCCTACAGGACAGCATTCAGGTGAGGCTTCGCATGCGGATGGACAGGGGGACAGCCCTGTAGAAAGTGTGTGGACTGGGGAGATCCTGGGGAGACCCCGGGGCCAGCCACTGAGGGGTAGCATTCTCGAGGCCACTGGCCTCTGCACCCATCACTTTACTGCTAGAGAATTTGCATGAAAAGCAAAGGGACAGGAGAGAAGCATTTTTACGAGAGAAGCCTGGGATACAAAAGTGAGGTGAGATTCTTTAAAATCACATTCTAGTTTGGTCTCAGAGCTGAAGCACCTAAAGGAGGGACCAGCACCATTCAGAGGGAGAAGGATGACAAAAAACCCTTAGAAATACTGGGGAATTGTTTGTACCTATTTAAAGCTCTCAGTATTTCTTTTTATTCTTTAGTTTTTGCTTAAAAAACATTTTAATCTTGCTGAGCTTCCATATTCAGACCACGGGTCTAAAGAGACTGCTGAGGTTTTTTCATATAAGATACAGACTGTGACTTTCCATTTGCTGCTGGTTGAACAAATCCCAATTTAGTGTTTTTACACTAAGAATTCAGTAATAGTGTCAAAAGATGACCGTGCTGAGCACCTCAAGTACCTTACGACCACGAAAATACGAGTCCTCATTTGTGCCGGAACAGGAACCTGCCTGGAGAGGCCCCGTGCTCAGACACTCCTGGCCGACTTCCCTCCGGGCCCCCTTGGCTGCAGGCGGCCAGCGTGTCACCGTAATGACTCCCATGCCAGCCCCCAGTGCTGTGTGCACACCGTGCACCGTGTCGTGGAGCTTACCCAACTGTGGCAGAACTTTAGCAGTCCCTGTTCAAGCCTCTTGTGAGGATTCTGGAATGCACCTCAGGCTGGGAACCAGGGGTTCCTCTTCCTGCCTCCCCGGGAACCTGCCCCCCAGCGCCCCGTCTGCCTTGCAGGCTCTCTCACTAGACACACACTGCTCCTCACGGTTGCCATGAAGATGTGCCTTACTTTTCTGAGGGGGCTCTTCTGGGTCCTTGGATCACAGCCTTACTGAAGGCGTAGCTCATCCTAATTCCATGCTTGCTTCAGTGCCACACAAGCTGTATTTTATTTTTGTGTAAATTTTGTTACTCTGAATAAAAAATCCACACCACCAGAGGCTTCTGTTGCTCTGCTTATTAACTGCGTGACCTCGAGCACGTTCTTTTACCGTTCTGAGTCTCGGTCTCCATCTGTAGACACAAGAATAACTTCTCCCTTACGGGAATTTTCTGGGAACAACAGCCCTGGGTACATGGAGAACACGGTGTGACCCACAGGCGCACAGTGGGGCCTGCGCAGGGCTGCACCCCGTTTATCTCCCTTCTAGCGCCATTTATAGAATGGAAGAAATTAATGCCACCTCAGTGATTCACACTTTTTTTAAGAATGAACTTTGGGAATGTTCCTTTCAAAGAAAAGTTATACTCGACCACTCCAGTTTTAACACATTAAAGCAGGGCTATTTTGTCTGACCAGCAAAAGGGGCCTGGGGACAGTCTGAGGACTGTGGTCCCAGCTGACTGAGGCCACACTCGGGCACGGCCTCTTCTAAGGAGCACTGGCTTGGGCGGCGAGATGTCTGACTCTCCATGACCTCAGGAGAGGTGAGGCTCCCCAGTGAGCAGGCCGCTGACAGGACTGGGTCTTCCTCTTTGGGGGGAGCAGGATGGAGCCATGGTGGGAATCTCTGTGTGGCTCTGACTCCACATTGTGAAGCCATGTCGAGCTTGGCTCTGGAAGATCTGTGCTTCTGGTTGTGGAGACGGACAACAGGGCCCCTATTACTTCTCGTGTCTCTCTTGGCTGGCTGTCCTTCTGGAACCTTCTGGAAACTTCTCAAATGAGCTGGACTCTTCTGAAAGCCAGCAGAAGGCACTTGACACAGCAGATGCCCCTTGGGATTCCTGGGAGGGCCTTCCTCTTACCAAGGACCTCAAGGAGACCACGCCTGCTGGTTCCTGCAGACCTGGTGGGTCAGCAGGGACAGAAGCCCCTCACCACGGCCCTCCTGGGGAGGTGGCCACCTCAGCCCTGTGCATACCTGCATTATAGGTCCCATCTTTTTTTTTTTTTAAAGATTTTATTTATTTATTTGAGAGAGAGAATGAGATAGAGCGAGAGCATGAGAGGGGGGAGGGTCAGAGGGAGAAGCAGAC